TCAGTAAAGTGAAAACTTGATGAAGTTGATGTTTGGAATTCAGCTGATTTATCGTCGGTATACGGAATACTGTTTGCTAGTTCCAATTGTTGTAAAAAATTTGTTAAATTCAGCTGAAATATAGTTTGAGTCGTTAATTAGTGTGTTGTCAATTTTTATTTCATGTGGCAGAGAATTTGTATTTGTTTTAAGTTTTCCTGTAATTTCTTTCATTATTTTCCAGATTTGTTTCGAATTATTTTTATGTTTATTGATCAAGTAGGAGTAGTATTTTTTTTTTTTTTGCATTTTTGCGAAGTTTTTCAAATAAGTTTTTATAGGTGATATAGTTATTTTTATGTTTTACTGATTTTGATTTTAAATATTTAATATATAGCTTTTGTTTTATTTTCGAGGATTTTTTAAGACCTTTTGTAATCCAGGGACATGACTTTATAAAATGTTTTAAAAAAAGTGTTGTAAATTGTGTTTATATTATTACTAAAGTTTAAATGTTCCCAATTTATTGGCAACAAATGTTCTTTGAAGGAGTTTAAATTAATGTTGTTGAACAACCTCTTTTTTATGGTGACACTTTTTTGCATTTCTTTTTTAAAGTCTAGATTTACTGAAAAAATAAAGGAAAATGATCAGATACATCTGTTTTAATTATTCCTTTTTTAAGCGATATATTAAAAAAGTCAGTGGTTAAGATATTATCAATTAAAGTGGATGAATAATTTGTAATTCTTGTTGGTCGAATTTATTATTGGTATTGTTCCTGTTTCAAATAAATTGTTGTAAAATTTTCTATTATTTTGATTTTTGTAATAATCAAAACAATCTAAATTAAAATCGCCAATCAAGTAATTTTTTTTATTTTCAAGATATGTTTTTTCTAGAATTTTCTTTTGTAAAAAATTGCTGAGGTCTTCAGTTCTTCCAGTTGGAGGCCTATAACAACAGCTTATTAGCAGGTTTTTTGATTTTTTGTTAATAATTTCAATAGTTAAAATCTCTTTATTTTCATCAGAAACACTCATATCGCGTCTAACATTATACAAAAGACTATTTCTAACATAAAAAAGTACTCCTCCTCCATGCTTATTTATATTTCGCTCTAAGGTAATTGCATTAAAACCTGGGAGTCTCAAAATCCTCGTTAGAAGACCACGTTTCAGTTACGCAAATTAAATTAAAAGAATTATCAGTTTCGCAAATGACATTTAAAAAATTTTCAAAATTCTTTTTTAAACTCCTTATATTAATATGGACAACGTTCAAATAACTATTAATGTTATCTATTTTTAGATAATATTTAACTTCATTTGGATAAAAATATTTGCATTCAAATTCTGATGTATTAATTTCGTTAAAATAGTTTAAATCAGGATCAGACTTTTCGTTAAAATTGAAAACGTTTGAAAAAAATTAAATATTTTTTCAAAATCATAAGAATTAATTGAATCTATATTAAAGATTAATAAATAATATAATATATGAATATATAAATAGTTCATTTAAATATTGCGTGTATAAAGTTTGTTATAAATAACTTTAGCAAATTTACCTTTAGAACGTAACTCTTTTGCTTCGGCGAAAAGCTTTTTCCTGACTTCTATCGTCCGTTCGCTAAAATCTTCGTTTATGTAGATTTTTTGGTTCCAAAGTTTCAGATTGGTGTGCTTTTCCAATATCGTGCTTTTGTCTTTGTAATTTAAGAATTTGATTATTATAGGCCTGTTTCTGGGTTTATCTGATTCTTTTCTTTCTACTCGGTGGGCTCTCTCTATATCTACATTATACTTAATGCCAAGCTTAGATTTAATAAATTCTTGGAATTTTTTCTCGCTTTCTTCCCATGATTCATTATCACAGTCTTCAATACCGTTGATTCAAAGATTGTTTCTTCGACTGCGATCTTCTAATTCAGCCAGTTTATTAATAATAACATCATCTTCTAATTTCTTCTTTTTATTGCCTTGATTATTTATGTCGTTTGTTTTTTTTAAATTGGCTGCTTCGTTTTTTATGTTTTCGTATTTTTCATTTATAAATTCCACAGATTTTTTTAGTTCATTAACTTCAATTTTTAAATATTTATTTTCTTCTACAATGATGTTAAATTTGTTTTCTAATCTTTCGATTTTGTCATTTAAAAGTTTAGTTATTGTATGTTCATGTATATCCAATAGTTCTTTAATTTGGGTTATGGTAAAATTTTTTGACATTTTATATAGAATATTATGTAAATAAATAAACTTACGAAGTTTCTAAAAAGCTCTAAAAAAACGCGTCCGTTCGCTTCAAAATCACGTTGAAAAAAAAAAAAAAAAAAAATACATATATATATATTAAAATATATTTTTTTATTTATATAAAAATTACGTAATGACATACATCATACATTAGTAAAACAAGAGCTCCTTGGCCTCCTCATGTTTATTAAAGTCTTTGGCGTTTCCTTAATTCCTACTTATACACGTAAGCTGCAAAGCATTTTCATCATAGGATCATAATTTGTCTGAGGCCTGGAAAATTTTATTGTGTAGTGCTCTGTTGCTTTAGTCTAAAACATTAAGATTTGTGTGTATGAAATGAATATTTTTCACAATTAAATTACTATTTTTCTCATTTATGGGCGTTTATTTAAAAGAACAAAACACATTTGACACATATATAGTACACTTTTCTAGACAAAAACGGCATTTTAAAAATGTTATTTAGATTTAATTAAAATTTTTACATTAAAACTGAAAGTAATAGATGATGTAGTTTTATCGCTTTCAACCCAACTAGAAATTAAAAAACTTATTTTTTCGTAAATAAACTAATTTTAACTCTTTACTAAACTAAAATTAAATAAAAAAAACTATCTTCTCTTTTAGTAAACAAAAACATTTTGCATACATAAATACAAATAATAAATATTCTCTTCAGTAACGGATTCGGCATTTTTTGGTGATTGAGATAACTAACTTACAGACATAGAGCAAACTCCAAATATTTTTATACATATGTCAAATATTGATGATTTGCAAAAAACTGCGATGATTGGAGGCTGGAAACAAATTTCTTTACTCACCCCAAACGTGAGGGCAAGTTGAAAAAAACTTTTTGTACTATTCTCAACTAGATTTATATTCATCTATAAATTTGAAGTTTTATTGTATAATTTCTCAGCATTTAAAATAATCATATAAAATTTGTAACCCCCTCAAATTGAGGGGGGTTTAAACTTTATACGGTCATAATTTTTGAACGCTGAGAGATAATACTATGAAACTTCAAGTTTATAGATGAATACAAGTCTAGTTGAGAATAGTACAAAAAATATTTTATATACTTGTTGCAAATTTTTTTCCAATATATGAGAGTTTAATTTAAAGTAGATCGCATGTGCAGCCTAGTGTTTTTCGGTTTGGGTAAAGGTAAGCGTTAAAAAAAATGTTGCGTATTTTAAGGGGTTTTATTAAAAAACACTTTGAAAAAAGCAAGCATAAAAAAGAAATTTTCGTATTTCTTCTTCTTATTTTAACATATGATGTCATAAACTTTTAAGAAATTAAAATGTTGTAAAATTGTCTTGCTGCCCTCATATTTCATTTTCATATGATTTCATATTTCATTTGATTTCATATTTTGATTATATACTATATATGATTATATATTATATTTGATGATATATTTCGATTTTTTACATTTTTACCAATATTTGAAAAATAAAATATTCCAATTTTTGTTGTAAAATTGATATACTGAGCTCAAAAATTACAGTAGGGAAAAAATTTATATGAGTTTTACAGTGCTGGGGGTCTCTAGATTACATTTAAAAAAAGAAATTACTCTAATCTAATAATTGGTTTTGAAGGGTTTTGCTCTGAATCACTGTGCGGTAAATCGTATGTTTCTGACGGCGCGTTGTCAGAAACATCCGATCATTCCAAACCATTTTTAATAAAATGAAAGTTTTGCACTCATTCCAAACCAATTTTTTATGAAAATGAAAGTTCTCAATATTTATGAGCTTTATGTTTATAATGTTTTAAATTTAATGTATATGTATATGTGGAAAAATTACATATCTTTACCCACTTTCAAAGATCTTTTTTATTTAAAACCAATAAATAAATATACACTTTGAAATAATAATTTTATATATAAACCCTTTCGTCGAACCAAGTTTAGTTAGTTTTGTATTACATATCGTGCACCCTATTTTTGGAATAAAATTGTTTTATCCAACTTTAACATGCTTTTTACTTTTCCCATCTTTAGATATAAACTGAAAAATTTAATTATCTTAATGGATGATGTAGTCAGGTATTTTTATTTGTACATATATACTTTGTTTCGAACTTTTATTGTAAATTACATTTTATTTTGTTAATTATGTATTGATGTAGTTTATATACACACTCTTGTAACAGGTTCTGATGATGAGATCAGTACGATCTTTCTTCCGAAACCTTGTTTATGTTTGTAAAAGTAATTTATTTACTATGACAACAAATGTAAACTAAAAATAATAATAACAATAAAAAAAGCTTTTTTGGCTTCGAACTTTAAGGTCTATTGAACGTTTCGAATAGACCTAAAAGTTCCCTATGACCCTTTGGGCCTTAAAATTTATCAGTAATTAAACTAGAGAGAGAGAGAGAGAGAGAGAGAGAGAGAGAGAGAGAGAGAGAGAGAGAGAAGGAAGGAGGAGAACCATTGTAAACACGTTTAATCAATTTTATTTTTATGTCTTGCAATGATTAGATTATATAAAGCTATTAAATTGTTTTGTGCGAATAGAAACATTACAATGTTTACATGTTTACTGTATAATATCTTTTGTTTATTATCTTCTTTTCGGGAGCATCACATTTCATAAGTAATAAAAATAAGCAAATGTAAACAAATTATTTTTTAAAATTAACCAAGTAAACAAACAGGATTAAAAACTTTTCATTAATTAAGTCACTAGACAAAATATATTGCGATAATCCAAACCAGGCTTTTTATTGTATTTTAAATTGAAACAATTTTTTTTATACGGTGAACAGTCAAAAATTTTGATTTTAGATAAAAACTAAACTTTAATAAGCAAAAACGTTGCACACTGATCATAAATTGTTAAAGAGTAAAAAGTAAAGTTTGTTAAGTTAAAATGAAATTTAAAAAGTACGAAGACAATGATTATTTTTTTCTTGAAAGAACTAGAAAATTAGTTGACGAGGTAATTGACGATCGTTTAATTCGTTCAGGTTTACATTTAAAACCAAGAAATAAAGTTATTAGCGACTTACTACAACAACCTGGTAAAACTTCAAGCTATCAACGTCAATTAACAGTAAAGGAAAAATTAAAAATTTTAAAAGACAAAAGGACGTCGAACAGAATAGAATTTGACGATCTTTTAATGACCTTTTTATATATCGGAGAGTGTCTTGAGTCAAAGTATCAATACATATACACCGATGTCTTTCAACATTTAAATATTAAAAAGTTAATTGAAACGGAAATGAGAAAAAAGTTTTTACACGTGGCAGAAGAAATTTTTAAAAAAGATATCACTTGGGCAAAAATTATTTCTTTGATTGTTTTTTCCGGAGGTCTAACGGTTGACTGCGTTTTGTCCGGTAATTCAATATACATTAGCCGCGTTAAAAACTGGTGTGTTGAATTTATTGACAGTTCATTGAAAGAATGGATAGTAAAAAACGGTGGATGGGTAAGTGTTGTTACTTTAATTGACAAAGGACAAAATATTTTTTTCAAAGGACGTTTCAGCTGATAGAAGTCTTCACATCAGTAACGTACCTAGACTTTTTTTTGACTTAAATTAGCTGATTATAGAGCTATCTTAGTGACATTTATATGCGTAAACTACAAATAAATAAAATAAATTGCCGCGCGGAGATTTTACAAAAAATGTAATTTATCAAAAAGTTAGCTTATTCCAAAAAAACCATTGTTTAACTTTAAATTACTTTAACTTTAAAAAAATTTATGAAACTGAAGGAGTAAAACAAGTTATTACATATATGTCAAACAATATTTCAGCCATAATGCAGAAAAGAATAAATACAGCCAACTTATTATAATATATCGCGTATTGGAGATCTTTAAGATTTTTAATCTGCGACAGTGTTTCGTATAATACGGTGCCTGTGTACATTTAAACAGACAAAATGAAATAAAATACTGTTCGTGGAGTAAGAACTGACCACTAAGAAACGAATTAAAGGCCTAAAAAACCTAGCCTCGTTTGCGTGACTTAATAACAGTGATACTAAGCATTTCATAAACAAAGAGCAGAACATAAAACTTCTACTCGACTTAGATACCTTCCAAATCTACATTTAAGCAAACTTTTTCGAGATAATATTTTAAATACTACATTGACTTGATGGTGAGAAAAATATCCGAAACTATGCAGCAATTTATAATTTATAGAAATCGAAAATTAAACATAATGAACATTCTGTCTTAAATGCGGACCCCGTATCGCCTATAAACCCAGCAAGAACCATGCCCACTGAATTGTCCCTAAGTTTAACACTAGTCCATGTATATAAGTAGATTTTGCGAATTTTAAATGATCCGATTATTTATGTAAAAACAAGCATGAGGTGTCCTTTATGTCCGCAAACATTAGTAGTATGCTTTTATTTGCATGGCTATTTAAACAAACCTTAAGTCGATGTATGAACACAGTCCCTATCTATATTTAAGTAAGTTAATGTATAAACACTTCGCTGCCCTTCTAAATCGGATAAAGTTAACGGACTTTATAAACGCTCAACGTTGTAAATATAAATATTTGTTCAGCGTAATGGATTGAAATAACGTAACATGTTGTTTGACGTAAAAGTAACTTTGATAAAATTTTTTTCTATTTTAGTTTGGTTTTTTTGACCAGTTTGTTTTGTCGCAAAGAAGTCATCTCGTAAAAAAAATCATCTATAAAATGTGGATTTGTGCGATACCAGTAACAGCTATAAGTTTGATTGCAGTGGCATGTCGAACGTTACAAATTATATAAAAGCCATACGTTGGCCATTTTATAACAATAACCATATTCGATAATCGAGTGCCAGTAGACAGCCAAGTAGTGTCAGTGGCAGTGATATTATAATTTTACCGTGATAATTAAACTGAACAGTTAATTTTTAGAGGGATGTTTACGAGTATTAACATTGTTAAAAATATTCTCTATACTTAACATAATTTATAATTTGACTAAATACAAATGTAAACTTACGCTTTAACGTAAAAGTAATTTTACTGTACATCATGTTTTAAGTTATTTTAATTGGCACCTTAACGACATTGTGTATATTATGTATTAATTTTCAAAATATTATAATTTTTGCCTCACAGCAAAACCTAAAAAAACACTTATTTTTTAGGAAGTAAAAAGCTATAGTTAACTAGCTAAAATAAGAAAACGTTTTTTTAAATTAAAAATCACATAGAATTTTTTTTATTTATAAAATATGTGAGCAACAAAATCTCTCTAAATTTTAGGATAAAAAATTATAAAGACGTATGAATGAGTTATTTAACTCATTCTAGGAAAAGACACTTGTGCAGTTTTATCTGTTGCATCTTCAGCTCTCCACAAACTTGTAACCGTTTTCCATTGCGTATAAAATTGAACACCCTAAAAAAAAAAACAATAGCACATATTCAAATTGTATATACACACTAAAAAGGGATTAGATATCTACATTAAGGGCAATATTTTTTTTTACAGTCGTAACACGGCCTAATAAATAATAGGCCTGAAAGATACACACACACAAAAAAAAACTACAGGTGGATAATTATAAGAACAATATTGGAGAACGTTGCAGTGCTGGATTAAAAGGGGCTTAAGTTTCGGGCTTCGTACCATTAGAGGCCCCGAAAGAAAAACGTTTTTTTTGACACTCAATACGCAGTGTGTGTGTGTTCCTCATACCCCTTAATTGGACGGGGGGTGACCAGCAAATTTAGTAGGCCCATTCCCAAAGTAAGGTGCATTTTGCAAAAGTTAGGAGTTTTTTTTTTTCTTTCTTTTTTTTTTTAATACCTAATAGAAAAATGTTTTAGATATTGGGACGCTTATGACTGTTTATTTTTTTTAAGAGTAAATTAGGGTAATATGAGCACCTTAAGCGAAAATTGAAAAATTTTCAAAAATAATTATGCTGGATCAAAAATTTTTTGCGTATAAATAATTTTTAGGGATCCCTACTCATGATCTAATTAGATGTTTAGGCACCCAAAATATTTTTCTTAAAAACACAGGTTTTAAAAAAGTAGTAAAAATGCTCATAATACATTGCCACTTGCCAATATGAGCACTTTAAATTAGCTCAAAAAATAACATTAATTAGATAATAATATAACAAGCTGACAATTAGAACTAATATTTGGAATATACTGATTCGTTGTTAATAAATCTTATCATTAAAAGATCATATTTTAAGCCACTTTTTGTTGAAACAATACTACTAAAGTTTCCGCAAAATAAAAAAAAAAAAAAAAAATACCTCGTCATTTTTTCAATATTATTAGCTCAAACCTTTGAACGATAAAAATTCAAACTTTTTGATTTTAAATAACAGAAAAATATTTAGTATAGTTAAATTATCAAAATTTATGTTTTGTTTTTATTCAAAATTGCAATTAAAACCACTGCTATTTATTTTTATTAAAAAAGCAATTAAAACCACTGCTATTTTAGGACTTTAAACAAGGTAAATTCAATGAAAAACACTGGGTAATTTGAGCATGCTCATATTACACAAAAATCGCATCTTTAAATAGGACGACTGAATAAGCGCGAATTTTATAAGTGCAAACTGGCATAAGTGCGAATGGTGTAAGTGCGAATAAGTGTGAATTGGCATAAGTGCACCAAAAGAATTTGCAAACATTGGCATAAGTGCAAAGTACTTGCAAAAACTGGCACAAGTGCGAATCGGCATAAATGCGAACTGGCATAAGTGCACCGAATAAATTTGCAAACATTGACTTAAGTGCGAAATACCAATTTTCACTTATGCAAATATTTGCGATTTTATTCGACACACTTATGCGAGTTTGCACTTATGCCAGTTTTTGTAACTGCTTCGCACTTATGCCAGTTCGCAAAACCTTTTGGTGCATTTATGCCAGTTTTTGCAACGCTTCGCACTCATATTATCAAGGTGCTCATATTACCATAATCTACCCTCTCTCTCTCTCTCTCTCTCTCTCTCTCTCTCTATATATATATATATATATATATATATATATATATATATATATATATATATATATTTATATATAGATATATATATAGATATGTGCAATATATTGTAAAGGCTTTAAAGTAAGTTAAATAACTGCTTCACCCTGAGTTGTGCTTTGTTTTGTAGAACTTCATTGATTTAGATACATGTAGTTCATTTTGAGTAATTGTAATATACAAGGTTTCTCTTTGAGGAGGCCATACTTCCCAAACACACACACACACACACACACACACACACACACACACACACACACACACACACACACACAAGATATTAATGATACCAATTACTGTTTTGCAGATGCAGTTGAGGAGACCATACTTCCCAAACAAGAAAGAAGTCAATGATCTACTTTCAAGTTTAAATCCAAAGACAAAAATTATGTTGTATGTAATTGCTGAAAAATATTTGTTATATTTCTGTAGAAAATTTAAGAAAACGAATCGGTAGGTCAGTTATAATTAATTTTATTTTTAATTGTTGTAGATTTCTAAACATGTTTTATTATTATGCTCATTTCAATTTAACAAACTGTTTTATTAGACATGAATAAAGGAACTACAAGTTTTGATAAGTTTTTAATTCATATTCTATATGATGATCAAGTATGATTGGATGCATTTTTATTTTACAAATGATATAAATTTGATTTATTTTTATTTTACAAACGATATATTAATGATATACAAATGATATGATTTTTATTTTACAAAAAAACACATCTTGATGAATGATTCAGATTTTTCTCCTTTTTAATTGCGATTGGTAGTTAAAAAATTTTTATTTTTTAACTTACATGTCTATTACATAATGTCTATAACGTAATGTCTATATACAATAACTTGATTTACAATAAATAAATTTAACAAAACATTTCATTAGTTGGTAATAAGACAATTACAACCTCTACTGAGTTGTAGGTGCATCATAAAACGTTTTTTTTTTTTTTAAAATACAATGTAAGTAATATCTATTTAAAGGTATATTTACATATCTTACATTTAAGGTTATTATTTGATAGCTAAGGTGTGATTTATTAATATTTAGGCCTTGTTAGGTTCAGTTAAATACTTTGTCATGCTGTTTGTTTTAACTAATTTTCCTAATCAGTTCTGATATTTACAAATTAAGATAACATAAATATTTTCTCTTTTCCAATTTTTTATATTGATGCTATTACAAAATCAATAAACTTTTTTAAGGTTTTTAAACTAATTCATTCTTATATATAACAGTCTATATATATTCATTATTATATATAACAGTCTATATATATTTAGTGATTTAATTAACAATTACTGCAAAGGAAAATTACATTGGTTTTTAAAATCAAAATCCAATGTTAAATTGTTCCAGAAAACAGACGTCTGTTTATTACTGCTTGGAACCATTGTAAAAAGATTTTGTCTAACGCCAAAGCCCGCTATTTTCAGATCATGAAATCTTGTATTTCATCACAAAAATTAGGCTCTCGTGACTTCTGGAGAATCTTTAATAGTATCAATAATAAGGGCAAGTCTGTAATTCCACCTCTTTTGTATGGTTCAGACTTTGTCACCTCACCTAAAGTCAAAGCTGAATTGTTTGCCGAAAACTTTTCAACAATATCATCTCTGGATTCCACTAGTTGCGTTCTACCTGATATAGCTGTCAAACAGGTTGATCCACTGCTCGACATCCGCATCACTCCAGCTTCTGTATCTAAAGTGATTTCCTGCTTAGACTCTTCTACAGCTTGCGGCCCGGACAACATACCTGTTATAGTCTTGCAGAAGTGTTCTCCGGAGCTGTTGTCTATCCTTTCAAAACTATTTAATAAGTGCTTATCAGAGTCTTGTTTTCCAGCCTGCTGGAAAGCAGCATCTGTTATCCCTATTTTTAAAAATTCTGGAGAGCAATCTGATTCATCTAACTACCGTCCCATTAGTCTTCTTCCTATCATAAGCAAGGTTTTTAAATCTTTAATTAACAAACACTTAATCTCTCATCTCAAATCTCATAACCTACTTTCTGATCATCAATATGGATTTCGATCTTCTCGTTCTACGGCTGATTTGCTAACAGTAATAACTGATACGTTTTATCGTGCATTAGATAAAGGTGGAGAGGTTAAGGCCATTGCTCTTGACATTTCTAAGGCATTTGATAAAGTTTGGCATACTGTTCTTCTCTATAAGCTTTCTTCTTACGGTGTATCTTGAAACATCTTTAAGATTATCGAATCCTTACTTTCCAATCGTAGTATAAAAGTTGTCCTTGATGGACAGCACTCTTCTTCTTATTCTGTAACCTCAGGGGTTCCTCAAGGTTCAATCCTTGGCCCTATACTCTTTTTAATTTACATTAACATTAAGTCTCATCCTTTTTCTGTTACTGTTCCTAAGTGCTCCAAAAACTCTTATTCGTCTAGTTTTTTTCCTCAAACATCAGTTCTTTGGAATTCGCTTCCTTCATCTTGCTTTCCTGATTCATATAATTTGCAATCTTTTAAGTCGTCTGTCAACCGTTATCTTGCTCTTCAATCTTCATCTTTTCTCTTCCAGTAACTTCCAACACTAATTAGTGGTTGCTTGCAGCCTTGTTGGAAGCAACCACTTTTTTTTGCCTGTATCCTAAAATGTCTGGCCCCCATTGCGCTACAGCATATGAAAAATCACATAAAAATCAAGGTTAACAAAATCATTTAAATTTAAAGGAAAATTTTTATTTCAATTTAAAAAATACTTATAAAGTAAAGTTTAAGCCTATAACATTTAGAACCATCATAAAGCATGGAAGAAACGTTCTTTATAGCAATTATTAAAATCTATTGAAATATCATCATAATGCTAATTTTAAAATTTTATTCATAATCATTTTTTAACTTATATATTATATATTATAATAACTTATATATTAGTTTGACAAAATTTTATAAAAATTTGCATAAAATTGCCAGTTAAGTATCATGTAAAAATCTTTTTTAAATATTTTGATAAAAGTTTTGAAAAGTTAAGATACATATTACTTGGTACTTACATACTACTTACTAAAAAATAAAATTTAATAATATACTTACAGCTTTTCCATAAAAGTTCAAATCTCCACGAAAGGAACCTCTATTGCCAGTAAAAGAAAACATCGGAACAGGTACTGGTATTGGAACGTTGATACCAATCTTAAAAAGTAGTTTATATTATTAATTTAATAACATAATAATCATATAGATGTACAGTGGTGCCCTAAAAAATAAGACTTCAAAATGATATTTTACCTGGGTACTGAATGCTGAAATCCCTTTCTGGAACTAGTAAATAACTGTGGCTGATATTTAATAAGAATTTGATAAACTGAGACTGATATTTGATGAGGGCATAATTTGATAAACTAAAGCTGATATTTGATGAGGGCTTAATTTGAACAAATGAGGCTTATTTTGATGAGAACTTAGTTTGATAAAAAATACTAATGTAATCATTATTAGTATAACACAAATTTGAAACTTATTTAAACAATTTTAAATGGTTTATTACTTAAACTGAAATATTTGTTTTAAAATAACCTAATTTTAAATTACTTAAACTGAAATATTTGTTTTAAAACAACCTAACATTATAGAGATGTTATTATTGAGTTCAAGCGAGTCTAAATCAAAAGCTTCATTACTAATTAAACTATTTAAATGGTAAAAAAACATTCTAATAATTAAAATCAACCTAGATGTAGTCAAACATCTATTTCAGGCCTTATTTACATGAACTCAATAGTGTATTTTTTTATATTTGAATATCAAAAATGTCATATACCTGTCCACAATCAACACGGTCTGTAAACCTTCTAGCAGCAGCACCAGAGTTAGTGAATATTGCAGTACCATTTCCATACCTGTTTTTGTTAATAATTTCAGTGGCCTAAAATAAAATAAAGTTAATAAATATAAAAAATAAATTTTTCCATTTAATTTTCTTTTTTCAACAACATTTTTATAAAGAAAATACTTCATCAAGGGTGTCAGCATTCAGTACTAGAAGAACAGGACCAAAAATCTCTTCATGATAGCATTCCATACTTGGCTAAGCAATAAAAAAACTTAAATGTAAGATATGATTACAATTATTTTTTTAACAATTCATGATTGATTTCCGTATGATTACTAAGATCAGTCAGAAATTATTTTATAAAAATTCCTTTGATACAAAAAATTACTTACTGTTACGTTTGTCAATATAGTAGGTCCCACAAAATTTCCTTTTTCATATCCAGGCACTTTAATACCACGACCATCAAGTATACATTTAGCTCCCTGATTAATTCCACTTTGTATCAATCTTTCACATCGTTCTTTTGCGGCTTTATTGATCAATGGGCATATATCGGTTCCTGGTTGGTCACCTACAATAAAAATAAAATATGTATATAAGTTCACCAGGTTTGGCCAGGAAGGCGTGCAATTTCACATCATAATATGACCACGCAAATACTCTTTGATTTTACTTAACTTGACTACGGCTGTTGATATGTTTTGAAAATTTGCATATATAAAAGAAACAAATAAATCTTGGTGATAAAATATAACGAAAAACAAAATAAAAATAATTTAACTAAAACAGCAGAAATAAAATCAAAACTTATCTAAAATAAATGATAAACTATAACGATAAGATTGTCAAAATTACGTTTGAAATAAATAACTTTAAATTGTTTATCTTTACTAATGTTTTTATAATATAATATTATGCGAAACCCTTTTTAAATAAACTAACAAAAAACTGACGATTCTTTAATAAATGCGCACATTTAAATGTTTAAAAAAAGGTTCTTAATTCTTCGCAATAAAGAAAAAATAATTAAATCGCTTATTTAAAATTTGATATAATTTTTTTTAACTAAAAACATTTATAATAAAAAAATTAACACATAGCGAAATTAAGTATAAATTTCAAAAATAATATTCATTTAAAAAAAAATTGTTATTTTTAGTTTAATTACTTAAAAATTACATTTTTTAACAAAAAATGAAAAAAAAAAAATGCATTTTTTAAATGTTTTTTTATGATAATTTTGATAAGTTAAAAATTTTTTTAAATGAATATAATTTTTGAAATTTTTATATAATTTCGCTTCATTTGAGTACCAGGTTGAAATATTTTTGAAAAATTTAATAGGTTCCCTAATATTTTTTTTTGAAAATATTAGGGACCCATTAAATATTCGAGGATCTTGAGGGACCCCTTATAAAATTTTTTATTCAAAAAAATTTTAAACCTAGTGTTTTTGTATTAGATAAAACACATTTAGGGGGTAAGAGCAGGTTTTTCTCAAAAAAGTTGTTTTAAGGGCCAATTTAATACATATATATATATATATATATATATATACATATATATATATATATACATATATATATATATATATATATATATATATATATATATATATATATATATATATATATATATATATATATAAATATATATATATATATATATATATATATATATATATATATATATATATATATATATATATATATATATATATATATATATATATATACCCTTATAGTGTAGTCGAAAGAGCGCTTTAATGTAAAAAAAGTCTCTTACGACTACAATTTTAATTACCTCGTCTCTTAAGCTGTTTTTGATTGTCATCGAAATGTCAAAGCAATTAATTTATGCGGAAGTACATTAAATTTAATCGTTTTTTAAAAAATTTTTAAAAAACCGCAATTATAACGACTAGAAAGTTTTTTTTAATTAGTGGTGTTTTTGTTATTGATTTAATAAAAAAACATTTTTAAAACATGCGTAAATGTTGCTACATCGACTATCTTATAGCCTGACTCGCAACGGAGTGCTGCTACATCGACTGACAAATAGCCTGACTCGCAACAGAGTGCTGCTAAATCGACTGACAAATAGCCTGACTCGCAACGGAGTGCTGCTACATCGACTAACAAATAGCCTGACTCGCAAGGGAATGCTGCTACATCGACTGACAAATAGCCTGACTCGCAAGGGAGTGCTGCTACAACGACTGACAAATAGCCTGACTCGCAAGAGAGTGCTGCTACATCGACTGAGGGTTTGGTTTGGCCAGGCAGTCTATCAATTAAAAAAAAAAATTAATTTTTAAAACTTTTTCTGGTCTGGTTTATTAACGCGCTCTTTAAAACTACAGTTTATGGGAAATATTTTTTGATGCCACGCAAGAGACATGCAAGAGTATATATATATATATATATATATATATATATATATATATATATATATATATATATATATATATATGTATATATATATAATTCATAAAAATCATTAGCAGTGAATACTTTATTTAAATGAGTTTTAATAATATAATAAAGTAAAGATCAAAGTTATTTAATTCAAACTTTCAAAAAAGTTTGTCTTTTTTTTTCTTCTTCTCAACAAAAACTTTGATTCTCATATAAAGTTTATTAAAGAGACCTTCGCTTTTCAAAGTTTATAAAATTATTTTTTTAACTATTACTTTTTTTATTTTTACTTATAAAAAAAAACTTATATAATTAAATAATATAAATAAAAAATTATACAACTTCCAATGATACTTTATTTAAAAAAGTTTTGCTAATATAAAAACGTTAGTAAAGATAAACGTATCTAAGTTATTTAATTTTAGCGTAATTAAAAACCATTTTTTTAGCGCATTTGATAAAACCGTGGTTAAATCATCAAAACAAAATATTATTTGCGTGGTCATATAAAGACTTGAAATCGCACGTATTCCTGGTCAAGCCTGTAAGTTCACAGTTGATCACAATAAATATACTAGGTTAGACATTCTTTCATGTGAAAATTAAACTTCTTTTTGTTATTATTATTATTTTGATAAGAATCTACAATATTATTTTCATTACCTGAATTAACTTTTAATTTCTTAGCACGCTCAACCAGATCAGGTATCCATTTTTGAGCTTCGCCAACAAATACAGCAGTGGAAAGTGCCATGCAACGTTGACCAGCTGCACCAAAGGCTGCACCAACCAATTGGTTTAAAGTCATTTCTTTATTAGCATCAGAGAGTACAACTCCATGATTTTTAGCACCCTGAAAAAAAAAATCATTTAAACATGATTTAGAAGAGAAGTTAAAAAAAAAATCATTTTTTAACTTAATAACTTGCCATATTTGATTGGACTCTTTTACCATTTGCACAACCCAATTCATAAATATGCTGCCCCTATAATTAATAATAATAATAATTTTTTCAAAAGTTTTTTTAAATTAAAATAATAATATTTTTTAACATCTCACACATGCTTTATCAAGCTTTAACAACAGACACATTAATGGTTGCTCCAGGTAGCATGTACTCAAACTTTGAGAAAAATTAAACAAGTGACATCTTAAAAACTTTTAAAACACTTTATTAGTGTTAAAAAAAGAGTAAAACACATTACAACATTATAAATTGAAAAAAGAATTATTCAAAGTACCACATGATCTGATCCAACAAATGAAATTGCTCTAATTGAAGGGTTGGTACAAATAAAATCAACAGCTAAACATTTGAAAAGAAAACTATTTTAAAGAAATGATTAAAATTTATAGTTGTTTACAAAAAATGTTACAATATTATATAATATAATTAAATAATATAATAGATAATTATGATAATTAATTTCAATATAATAGATATGATAATTCATTAGGTACAAGAAGTACGATATTATATAATAGAATTAAATAATATAGTAGATAATATAGTAGATTATAAAAATAGTTTAAGAAACTATAGGATTAAAAAAAGGAAATAAAAACATTTTTTAAATTGTAATTTACAGACCTGGTTTAGTACCATGAATAACATTAAGAACACCATCAGGTACACCACAATCAATAGCCATTTGAGCCAATAGCATACAAGCCCCTGGGTCTTGCTCTGAAGGTTTCATGATAAATGTGTTGCCTGTAGTTAATGCCATCGGAAACATCTACAAACCCAATTTTTTTTAATTTAAAGTTTTATATGTAAATTAATTTAAAAAATTTTAATAACAAGCTAATTGTAAATAAAATAACATACCCATAGTGGTATCATGGCTGGAAAGTTAAACCTAAAAAAATAAAATCAGTAACTGAAATTTCACAACAATTTTTGATAATAATTCACTTTTTTTTGAGGATTTAGGTCAGCACTATTCAAACATATTTTGCATACTTGAAGTCCCTGCAGGTCCTTATTTTACTACGACCTCATCAGCAACATTTTATGCAGAGCTAGGTATGCAAAGATATTTGTATGTATGTATGTATCTATATAAGTTTATGAAGAGAATTAATTGTAAACTAAATTCTGGAATATTTATTGATCATTTAAAAAAAAATTATTAAACGAAGCAAACGAAATACACTAGACTTTACAAAGAATTCTATTCTAAATATTCATAAAATTAAATTAAGATTGTTTTTTAAAGCCATCTTTACTTCTTACACCTATAACTTTAAGAAAGATTCCTACAAAAAGATCTTATTCTTATTCATTGCTAGATGAAAGAGCAGTTCTCAAAAAATAGGATAAGATTTGTTCAATCCATGACTTGACAAAACAAATTTATCCTCAAAATTTTTTATTTAAGAAATTATATAGAGGCGTTATTTATTATCATGTTATTATTGAAAATATAACATCATCAACTAACATTGAAAGCATAAATATTGATACCAATCTGCATGTAAAATCATACCATAAATGAAATTTGATACCTCTTCCCCAATGGTTTTATCAAAATAATAAGTGTACACTGACAAATTTAACCATGTTAGAAAACTTAGTTTCTTAATATGAGAAATCGAGTTGAAGAAAAAAAAAAAAATTTTTCAAACTATTCAGTTTTATGTATTATGAATCACAGCAGAGAATTATATAATAATGAACTTATTAGGTTTGCTTTGATTCTACAATATACCTCAAGAAAAGCTTACATGTTATTTAAAAGTATTTACTCAAGGTAGAATGGAATCAATTAAAAATTAAAATATTTATTAAAAGAAAAAAAAATAAGATTAAATTCAGTTTTGTTAATTGATGAAATGTACTTGCAAATAAGTATTCAATATCATGATGGTAAATTTTTTTTCAAGATCATGATGGTAAATTTTTTTTCAAGATCATGATGGTAAATTTTTTTTCAAGATCATGATGGTAAATTTTTTGGAAAAGATGAGAGTGGGCAAATTTTATTCAGGAGTTGTAGTTTTTATGTTGGTTGGTATTAAACATTCTATACCTTTTGTTGTTAAAGCATGTCCTGAAACAAGTATTTGGTTGATGGCTGAAATTGAAGTGTCTAACAAATCTTTTTGATGCTAATTTTAAAATAAGTGTTATCACCACAGACAACCAATACATCTGCATTTAAAAAACTCATTAAAAAGTATATTTCTACGGAAAAATTTATTTATTATGGACAAAATAAAATTTACACATTATTTGATAGTGTACATATTTTAAAAAACGGCAGAAATAATCTGTTACATTTAAAGAGGTTTATTTTTCTGACATTCAATTTTAATAAATTTGAGGATAAAATTCAACACCGCTCTCATAATTACGGGCATAAATCTATAAAATATCAAAGCATTAAAACTTGGAACAACCTTCCTTATGAACTAAAAACTCTCAATTCATTCTCAACCTTTAAAACCAGTTTATTCTACTTTTTATTAAAAAAAAATACAGCTAATGTTTATAATTTCTATAATCAATTTTTGTTGTTTTTAGTTTTGTTTTTTTAATTTCTATAATATATTTTGTTGTCATTACTATTGCTTAATGTTATTTTTATAAATATTTACATTACTATTATTAACTACTTTAAACTATTATTACAAATATTAATATTGTTATTATTGTTATTATTATTATTACTATTATTTTACTATTATTACTAGGCTTACTACTATTATTAGGTTACTATATTTTTTTATATTATAGAGTTTATTATTGTTATTATATATTGTGAAAATTAGCATTATATTTATTTTAATTAGATATTATTAACATTAGTAGGTGTTTACTTTATATTATTAAATTTACTATTTGTAAACATCCTTGAATGTAAAATCTTAATTTAGAAATAACAAAAAAATAATGGATTGAAAAATAACTTACTGCCTGCTAATTTAAAAAAAGCTTACAGAATTTGCTTGCCTGCTAGTTTACAGAAAACTTACTTGAAAATTATATATATATATATATATATATATATATATATATATATATATATATATATATATATATATATATATATATGTTACCCAGTACAATCTGTTTCATGTCCTGCTGCCTTGTATACACTTTTTTAGGCAAAGGCTAGATAAAGCCAACTCCGACGTAAAACACCCCCTGGCTTCGGGCTCTTGGTTGAGTAAAGGCTAGAGATGGTGTCTCGATAAAAATATTCATCCTGGGCAGATGTTAAATGCATCCGACTACTGTTTTGTTGAAGGCCTCATATGTGGAGACTTAAGGGGTAAACAGATTATATCTGTTGACAAGCCTTGCACTCCTTCATCTATTAGGCTGGTATTTTTAATCATAGATCATCCTAGTCATATTTTAAAAACCTGAAAAACTCTGGAAAAAATCCAGAATTTAATTTCTCTTCTTTTTTTTTAATTTTGCTTTTAGCTAAGTTATTTTTAATTTTTTTCGACACTTTTCATAATTTTTCTTTGAGTGATGAGTGAAAAAGCCTAAAAAACAAATGTATTACAAAAATATATACCTCAACTTGCATGTATTGAAAATGTTTTGAATATCTGGAAAAACTAAAAGTTGAAAAAAATATCCGGAAAAAGATAATCCCTGTTTAATACATTGTTTCCAGTTTAGAATGTTGAATGCTGGATATTCTTGACTCAATGCAAAGGTTTTGCTGATGTCTCTGTTTTTATGACTAGGCAACTCATTTTATTATCTCCTAATGAGGGTACAGCTCTAAAACTCAGTTTTATGGTTCTGAGGCCGGCTGGTAGTCAGGTTTCCGAACTCTGTGGTAGCTCTCAGAGATGCTGATTCCATCAACAGCTGAAAATTATCAAAGCATTAACAGTGCCATGTTGCGCATGGTGTCCCAGTTTTTACGTTTGGTATGAATTGTCAAAGCCACATTTGGAGCCCTTTGTTACGGCTGTTATTAATATACTTTATAATAATGAACACAATCAATTCAAAATGCTATTTAAGTAAATGAGGATTTTGCTCAATGTTGGAATTACATAACTATTGTAAAGATATTTAAACAATAGAATATTACTCAAGGAAATAGAAGAAAAAGAGCTACAACAACTGGTATATGATTTTTTTTGTTTATTTTTACTTATTAAGTTGAGAAGTTTTTTTAAAACATAAGCAGTAGTAAATGAATTAAAAAAAAAAAAAAATCATTTGTTTGATTTCATTTAAAACCTAAGTTATAGATTAAAGATCAAAGATAAAAGGTCAAAGATAAGATTTTTATAAAAAATTTTCCATTTAAGTTTTACTAATTCACCTTAACTACAATAAACAAGTAAAAATTAATAAACAAGAGGAAAAGGTTGCACATGCACAAATACTAGGCACAACCCTCAGAATTAAGAAAAATGAGGTGGGCAATAAATTGCCAACCTCAAACTGTTAGAAGTTGGCAGAAGGTCAGCAAAATTATTTTGACACAAACTTACTTCTAACCATAAAACATAGAAATGAAGCTGGCGATTTTTTCTGACCTCAAACACTTTGAGGTCGGCAGTTAGGTCAGCATTGCCGAATGCTGACCTAAGCTGATTCTAATTCTGAAGGCTGTAGGCATAAAGTAAATTAACTAAACTTAACATAAATATTTATACTATAGTACATATTTAATGAATGTTTTTGCTAAATCTAAACAGTTTTTTTGCAAAAAAAAATAAAATAAAGAATAATAAAAAAATCACTACTTAATTTTAAAACTTGAAGCATACAAAATTTATTAGAGCTGTGTTGACCTAAATGTGCAAAATGTATGTAGGGGAGTGTGGGGCACCATGACACACTTTTTTTTATTCTTAAAGGGATCCCTAAGTGCTATAAAGATATGATCTCATATGAAAGAGCATAAAAAAAAAAAATGTTTGATGTATATTATTTTTTCTAAAACGTAATAATGAACACACACTAACAAATTTAATTTTCAAAAAAACGCATTTCTTCGATTTAAAAAATGCGTCTTGTCCGAAGTTTATTGACTCTACTGCCTCAAAAAACTAACGTTTGTACGTCAAATTAAACAAAGTAGACAAAATGTCATTATTGCAAACTATTAGTTGGTAATTAAATTTAAAAGTAAAGTCGTTTTTTTTTAACTAACATATAACTACTTACAAGAATAAGTTTTGTAGCATTTTGTGAAAATATATTTGTATATTAAAATTTTTTTTTGTAATTTTTATTTATATATTTGTGTTATAAGGGCGATTCCATGGCCAAAAATGTATAGAAGTCAAATTTTAAACTCTTTTTAGTCAGTTTTTAACAAACAAGTATTGATGTAGACACATAAAAGTTTATTTATTTCCTTAGTACAAAAATAAATTTATTTTAGTCATTTTTATGGTTTCGAAAGTGACGGTTATTCTCATTTTCGCTTGATAAAAAAAATAATTATTGTAAAATGCTTTAGTTAAATTAACATTTATGTTATTTTAGCTATATTTTTTTGGTTCAAATTGATAAGGTTAAATTTTTTTTTATTTTTTATTTTAATTCACCTCCTCAAGGCCGAGAAGGCCACTACAGACGAGGAAGCTACTTATTTGTGGCTATAACCCTCTCTCAACTCTATAACTCTGAAACACGAACCTTGACGAACAAGGCCGCTGCGCGGAGAAACGAGTTGAGCGCGGTACTACCAGGGACGTGGACATTTTAAATAGACATTTTATTAGTATAATTAAATTAAGACAAGGCTCAAATTAACGCAAAAAAATCTAATCGCGAAAAAAAAAAATTTTTTTGCTCTACCCCCCCCCCCTCTCTTTTATAGCTCGCGCCAATGTGCGGTAATAGGGGAAGGGGCTTGCGTTAGTATAA